TGTTATATGACAGGGTGCAGATCTTTATATTTGCAATATACAGGGTGTAGATCTTTATATTTGCAATATAAAGGGTGTAGATCTTTATATTTGTTATATGACAGGGTGCAGATCTTTATATTTGCAATATACAGGGTGTAGATCTTCATATTTGTTATATGACAGGGTGCAGATCTCTTTTTATATTTGCAATATAAAGGGTGTAGATCTTTATATTTGCAATATACAGGGTGTAGATCTTTATATTTGCAATATACAGGGTGTAGATCTTTATATTTGCAATCTATATATCTATATCGCCCATACATACAAGGCAAAACCATGCATAAGAGTTGCTCCATATATAGCTGGGAAAGGGTAAAGGGGAAATTTCAAATTTGACCCGGGGAAAACTTTAGGATGGAGGGGGGAGGGGGGGAAAGAGGGGAGGAATGCCGAAAGCTTCGGAGAGGGATTGCTCTTGATTATTTATATAAATGTTGCCGGTACCATTTTTTAAGAAAATTACAAAAGTATTATTTTACAAATTAGCTTGCTCACTCAAGCCACTTGAGTTTTTTGGTTATTAGTTTTAAAAATTTGAAAGTTTGTGAGAAAATACGATATTTTGAAAAACTTTACGGGTTCTAACCATAGCAATACAAATACGACATTTTGAATAACTTTACGGGTTCTAACCATAGCAATACAAATACGACATTTTGAATAACTTTACGGGTTACAACCATAGCAATACAAATACGACATTTTGAATAACTTTACGGGTTACAAGAGTTCCAACGATGGCAATACAACTACTGTTTGATCTTTCAAAGTAATTAATAAAGAATTAATAATGTCTTTCGAACTTTTTAAGAAATATTTTGGCTGTTAACAGCTACTGTTTCAGCTTTCGAGTGAAGTTTGAAATATATCGAATCTACTATATACCGTCATAAACCAGCAGAAAGTAGGATGAATTTTATCTCCACAAGGCTTTTTGAGAGCTTCGCACCCATCTTATATTAAACGTTAAATTGCTCTATCTGTGCTTTGTACAGAATAACAAAAGAGTTTGCTAAACGGTGTCCGAATTTAATGAATTTGAGCCGTGTCTTAAATCCGCCAAAAACTGGTTTCAATTGAGCGCCGGCTTAAATCTTGAAACATTGAATACAATTTTAAGTGGAACAACCCATATTTTAGCGCCGGCTTAAATTAAAACCGCGGCTCAAATTCTTTAAATTCGGCCTCAGAAAGCGTAAATTTTAGATTAAAAAAGTACCCTTACGTAGAAGCTTTGTCTGATCAAGTATAAACTTAAATAAAGATGATTTTCTATCGTGGATTCTCTACAAAAGTGAGTTGCGCATTTCTACTGCAGGAAACCATTACCATGATAATAAGAATGATTAGAATAAAACAATTTTAAACATAGAAATACGACAATATCTTCCACATTATTGATTAGATGGTACAACTGTGAATCTAACATTAAGATTTTCCACGGACACTCATTTTCAATTAACAGCACCCCAAACTAACCAGAGAGTGAAGCACTCGGTTTCTTTTATTCGTAATCAAACGTATTTTCATCTATATTTCAACAATCTTTAAACTTACAGATTTGTTTATTTTTTACTTTTTCATTCAAAATTAAAATTGTGATCGAAAGTCACAGCTTTCTGAAATATTGACAGAATCGTTAAATCCACGTGGATATGTACTAAATATTCTGAGCCCGAGTTTAAAGATTTTGAGCCGCGGCTCAAATATGGTTGGTTCCACTTAAAATCGTATTCATTGCTTAAAGATTTAAGCCGGCGCTTAATTAAAACCGGTTTTTGGCGGATTTAAGACACGGCTCAAATTCATTAAATTCGGACTCTGGCTTTCTTAACATTTTCCAGCGGGCCACACAAGAATTTATGAAATGGACTTAGCCCGGGGATCGGGAAGAGGTGCCAGGAAGAGGGATCAGGGGGTGAAAATGTCGTTAACTGAAATATAATTATGGAATATTATCAAATAAATGTATACATAAATTTTCTTGTGTAACAATGATTTATTGAGGGGGATCCAAAATAAACACAATATCACGTCAGAAAAGTGAATTTTACTAAAAATTTGATTTTGCTTGCTTTCAATGGTAACTCCTCTTTCACACGTGCTTTTGAGAATAATAAAAATAAAGAAACTGAGTTTTTGCTTTAAACTCGGATTTTCTAATCCATATCTTTGCAATCTTATGTTACCTTTAATCTATTTCAAATCATAAATTCTGTAAGAAATAAATAATCAAAGTTTAAAATATCTAAGGTTTACATTATTAAGTTGCAAAGATAAACGGATTGTGAAATTTGAGATTGTTGAAAAAAACTTAAATTCCTTTCTAATATGAACCAAAATAATATCTTTTATACTCAAATTTCGCATAAAGACCTTTCCCTTAATAGTCTAGAATATTTTTTAAGTTGAGTGGGGGGGGGAGGGGGATATGGCCATAAAACAATGAACGGATGTCATAATATTGAAATGGTTAAACTGTATTATCTGTATAGGTTAAAATGGAAAATTTTGGTTTTAGTTTTAACCTTCATTCATACACACTTTGGTTAAACTTTAACTATAGGTTTACAACAGACACAGATTGTAAACCAGTTTCTTTCATACTTATATTAGATTAGAAACTATGCTTCAAAAAATCATTTTTTATTCTGGATGAAATAAAATTTGGATTTTTTTTTGCTCTTGTTTATAATAGAGAAACAAAGAATTGTTTCTTATCATTATCTTAAACTGGATTAAGTCTTTAACTTTTAGCTCCCTGTATCTTCTTTTTAATCCCTTTATCTTCTTTTTAATCCCTTTTTCTTCTTTTTAATCCCTTTATCTTCTTTTTAATCCCTTTTTCTTCTTTTTAATCCCTTTATTTTCTTTTTCAATCTCTATATATTCTTTTTAAAATTTGTATCTTCTTTTTAATCCCTTTATCTTCTTTTTAATCCCTTTTTCTTCTTTTTAATCCCTTTATCTTCTTTTTAATCCCTTTTTCTTCTTTTTAATCCCTTTATTTTCTTTTTCAATCTCTATATATTCTTTTTAAAATTTGTATCTTCTTTTTAATCCCTTTATTTTCTTTATCATAACTTAATCTTCTTTTCATTCCCTTCATCTTCTTTTTAATCCCTTTATCTTCTTTTGACCCTGTATCTTCTTTTTAATCCCTTTATCTTCTTTTTAATTTCACTATCTTCTTATAATCCCTTATCTTCTTTTGACCCTGTATCTTCTTTTAAATTCCTTTATCTTCTTTTTAATCCCTTTATCTTCTTTTAATCCTTGTATCCTTTCTAAAATTCTTTTTAATCCCTGTATTTTCTTTTAGCCCTGCATCTTCTTATGAACCCCTTTAACTTCTTTAAAATCCCTTTATCTTTTTTTAAATTCTTTTATCTTCTTTTTAATCCCTGTATCTTCTTTTAATCCTTGTATTTTTTTTAAAATTCTTTTTAATCCTTGTATCTTCTTCTAACCCTGCATCTTCTTATAAATCCCTTTATCTTCTTTTTAATCCACTAATTAGGTGAAAAAGTTGTACAAGTACGTATCGGGTGTCCCACGAAACATGACAGTAGCAAGACGACTTGAAGGTCGTCTCTGATTTTTCAATTTTTGCGACAATTATTCGTAAGTCTAATTTTAGAAGCAGAATTCTAAAATTAAAAATTGTTTTGATGTTTTATTTTTTTGTATAAGACAATAATCAATTAAAACTTCATTGTTCCTTCCCCTTTTAATAATATTAAACTATAATTCTCTGCTAGTGGGCGCGAAGCTGTCTGAATTTCTCAACCTGTATATTTTGTACTACACCTTATACCGGGGAGCTTTGAAAGGTGAGAATTAGATTGAGATGTAAACAGAGGGGGATAAGTCAATTCCGTGGGAAGGTTTTGGGAATGATAGAGCTGATATGAAAGCTAACCCATTCTACTGGATTAATATTATTTATCAAACATTCTCACGCATACAATTCTTCAGGTGTTAGTAGTTTGATTGTAACAGTTTGAATTGTAAGAGTAATTTAATGTGTCCTTTTATGCGGCGATGGTAAAGCCAGATTTTCACTTTATCTAATCAATAACATGAAAGATAATCTAGTGCATCTAGGTTTTAACTGTTTAATTCATTTGTTTTTCTTTAATAGGCGCAAGCCACTTATGTAGAGAAACCACAATTGAAAATAATTAGTTTTCATAATATAAAATACTTTGTATCATCCTAGTACAGGGGGCACTGCACCCCCCCCCCCTCAAGTATTAAATAATACTTATTATCACGATGAAGGGGCCACTGCCCCTCCTCAAGGATAAAATACTTTGTATCATCCTAATTTCTAGTACAAGGGGGCACTGCCCCCCTCAAATATAAAATACTTTGTGTTATCCTAGTGCAAGGGGGCACTGCCCCCCCCTCAGGGATAAAATACCTTGTATCATCCTAGTACAGGGGGGCACTGCACCCCCTGTCCCCCCCCCGGATAAAATACTTTGTATCAACCTAGTGCAGGGGGCACTTTGTCCCCCCTTTCATGGATAAAATACTACTTTTCATCCTAGTACAAGGGGGCACTGCCCCCCCTCAAGTATAAAATCCTTTGTATCATTCATCATCCTAGTACTGGTGGGCACTGCCCCCCCCCTCAAGGATAATTTGAATCATCCTAGTACAGGGGGGTACTGCACGCCTCCGCCCCCACCCCTCGATACAATACTACTAGAGAATTCACGATTGAAAATAATTAGTTTTCATAATTATAAAATAAATTGTATCATCCAAGAACAGGGGACACTGCGACCCCCGCCCCCTACCCCCTCCTGAATTAAATACTACGTATCATCCTAGTGCAGGGGGCACTAAGACACCCCGCCCCCCCCCCCTCCTTCTACGTATCATCCTGATTTTATTCAAACTTCAAAGCAGAATTATTGTCTGTTCTTTCAAACAAATCTTCTGTTTTTATTAGAAACAAAACATCTTTTATAGAATACAAACAGAACTCAGTTTGGTAAAATCAGAGAATATGTGGAGAATAATAGTTATTGGCATAATGCTCGGAGTCAGGTATAGGAATACAGTGGTCACCGAAATAAAATGGAAGTTTGTTTTCTAAAATATTATAGCATGGTGTCATGAACCAAGATGCAAATATATGAAAAGCATGAACAAATCTGTCAAAAATATTCTAAGAATTGTTAAACTCACATTTTCCAACGTTTCAGTGCCCGATTAACAACCGTACCCTTACAGCTTTGTTTGATCAAGGATGAATTGTACACTGATTATTTTAACTGTTGGTTCTTAACAAAAGTAGCATGTGCATTTCTACTACAGGAAAACATATAGGAATGATCAGAATGAAACAATTTTAAACCTAAAAAAACGACAATATCTTCTACATTATTGATCAGATAAAGGTTTCATGGATACCGTTGGAAATCTGGCATTGCCATTGTTGCATGATGGTTCACTTGAAACTTCCCTTACAGTCCCTTTTCTTTTATGTGTCAGGTTAACCTAGCTGACCCGCTTACAGTCACTTTACTTTATGTGTCAGGTTAACCGAGCTGACCTGCTTACAGTCCCTTTTCTTTATGTGACAGGTTAACCGAGCTGACCCGCTTACAGTTCCTTTACTTTATGTGACAGGTTAACCGAGCTGACCCGCTTACAGTTCCTTTACTTTATGTGACAGGTTAACTGAGCTGACCCGCGCACAGTCCCTTTACTTTATGTGACAGGTTAACCGAGCTGACCCGCTTACAGTCCCTTTACTTTATGTGACAGGTTAACTGAGCTGACCCGCGCACAGTCCCTTTACTTTATGTGACAGGTTAACCGAGCTGACCCGCTTACAGTCCCTTTACTTTATGTGTCAGGTTAATCTAGCTGACCCGCTTACAGTCCCTTTACTTTATGTGACAGGTTAACCGAGCTGACCCGCTTACAGTCCTTTTTTCTTTTATGTGTCAGGTTAACCGAGCTGACCCGCTTACAGTCCCTTTACTTTATGTGACAGGTTAACCTAGCTGACCCGCTTACAGTCCCTTTACTTTATGTGTCAGGTTAACCGAGCTGACCCGCTTTTACACATTTATTGTAAAATGAAAATATTTTGATTTAAAATTTTTAACTTTTGTGTATTTTTTATCAAGTTTAATATCTGGTGAACCGGAACCGAAAGCACTTCCGGAAGAGAATAGTTATGGGTCGGCTAAATATGAATATTCATCTGCAGACGGAAGTGGATACTACGACGGAAGTGGTTATTATGATGGAAGTGGGAGCACTGCAGGAAGTGGGAGCACAGATGAAAGTGGTGACACACATGGAAGTGATTATAATGACGGAAGTGATGTCAACTACTACGGAAGTGCTTATTATGATGAAAGTGGAAACTCTGATGGCACAGGCAAACTTGACAAGACACAAATAGAACAGGGGTGGAAATAATAATCAGTGTAGTGACTGGTAACTAGCACAGGAACAGACTCTCTTAAAGGGACTGTACGCGTATTTAATTTCAAGCGACCCTCCATGCAAATATGGCAATGTCTGAGTCAAACCGGTTCCTTCGATGCCCTAATCTGATCATAATTACCGTAGTTTATCAGTCTCAAAAAGCTTTTATTTCTGTGATTTTCTATATACATCTTTTATACAAGAATGTGCAAAACCCTTTGGCAGAGAAACCGCAAGTGCAAAATAATAGTTTAAAGCTTTCAAGGATACCGTTGTAAACCGGGCATTGTCAATTTTGCATGGAATAAGCTAATCCCCTTTTTGTGACTGTTGCTGAGTGTGGTTACTGGTTTATATATTAATTTTAAATAAATGCTAAAGAGAAGAGAGTTGAACCGCGGTCGGGCTCCAAATGTTTTGTGTCAAGCAAGCAAAAAAGGTTTTTAATGTTGGTCGAAGTTGAAAACTGACGGGAAAAATTTATGACAACATTTATTATTTTTGAAAATTTTTGAAGATTTAAACGAAAAAATCCGAGAAAAAATTGAGAAAGATGAAAAATTATCACTTTAAGAGCAACATTTGAAATCTAATATTGCGACAAAACAGCCTAGCTATAGTATAAAAATATGTGCATGCAAGATAAAGCAATGTTCTACTGTTTTGTGCAACGCAATTGCACATTTTTATTCTCGTTAGGCAATATTTTGCCCCTGCTACCCCTATTTCAACCTCTTGAAATTGTTTGTGTGTTTGGTATCAGATTATTCAGATGTTGGTGATGTTAGAACAGTTCCACATGAGACTACAACAATTAACCCAGAAGCAAGAAAGTTTATAAAAGATGTGGAGAAAACTGGATTCGTGGAGTGGGTCCTACGACAAAGTCCAATATAGAACAGAAAATATAAAAAGTAGAATAATATTTACAATAAAATTAAATATTTTCTTTTTCAATTTCAGACTAACCAATAAAGTTTAAAATGTTTTAATTTAGAGTAAAGTTCCTTATTTTATAGGGGACATTAGTTCCAAAACTAGCACTTTGCCCATTTCAAACATTGAGTGTTAGAAATGGGCACAAATTAAAAGACTGGGTTTTTAGGATCCCAGCCCATATAGAGCGTAAAAGTTTATAGAAAAAACTATAACCAACATTTTTTAAAGCATGTCGAGGACAGCAATTCCCAATTTAAAATTATTTTCTGAAGTCAGAATTATATTTAATGAAGTTTTTTTATATTAAAATTTTTGACCGTTTTCAAGACAATGTCAGGTTTTCAATTTTCGAACATATCCTGATTTTGAAACATTTTCCCGTTTTCGAGACAAAACCCACTTTACCGTTTTTGAGTATAATCCGTTTTTTACAGAACAAAGCTCACTTTTATAACTTACAAAATAAATCACTGAATGTAAAAATTATCTCATGAAGACTAAATTGACGGGTAAATATTTCTAAATTATAGCCTCCCCAGTTTATTTGTTAAATAAAGGTATTCAAGTTTTGGAACTAATTTCTCCCGTATTTATAGTTAAGCCATACTTTGTTACCAAAATATGTGAAAGAAATAACTTTTATTTGTTTGGGAGGAAAGTTGCATTTTATTCATTAAGTATCTCTTAAATAAAATTCTAAAAAAATTCACTAACTATGATTGTTATAGTCTTAGTGGAATGTCAAAATTATTTTTAAAAATGAATTATTGTTACACTTACAATTACAATATATGTACATTTTTATAAAGTTAATTGAACCATGTTTAATTTTTTATCACATTTTCATAATGATTTCATTGATTTAAAAGATTAGGTTCATTTCAAATTTGTTTTTACGGTGTAGGGAGGGGGGGGGGAGATGGGGTAGGCAAAAGGAGAAAGGGTAGGAAATTGACGGGAAACATCTTGAGCTCAGTTTGTCAACAACAGGAGAAGCAGAAGCTGAAAAGCCTATCTGTCTCAAATAGATTATCAAGTACTATAGGTGGCAACAGATTATACACGACGTCACAAGTATCAAATATAACAAAGAAAACGTAATTTTGTCTGAAATAGATTATCAAGTACAATAGGTGGCAACAGATTATACACGACGTCACAAGTGTCAAATATAACAAAGAAAACGTAATTTTCTCACATTATTTGACATGGTTTTCAAGATTAAATAAAAAAGTGTAAAAACAGAAAATAAATAAGACATAAAATTGGACCTTTAATTAACAGTAAGATAAGCTCTTTATTCTAAAATTATCACTATTAATAATTTTGTCAGACACAATACTGAGTTGACACTTGTGATGTAAGAGTACAGCTGTACTGAGAGTGTACAAATACTACGTTGCCATCTACTGTACTTAACAATCTATTTGCTCTGTCTATATTTTAGCTAATAAATATTCTTTATAGTTAAGTTTTACGTTGAAAGCATGAAGTGTAAAATTTAATCAGAAATATGATCTTACAAACCCAATCAATCTTGTATTTATAGTAAATTATAGAAAGGAGGGCATAATATATATAAGCTAGAATAATTCCTACAACATTGTTGTCTACTTAAAGTTTAGAAACATACAGGGACCGAATAAAATGAATTTGCATTGCCGCCGAACGTCCACCGCCGGTTCAACTTTGAATCACTGATTCAAATCCTTCCTGAATCTTTTATTAAAAATCTGTGGTTTAAATATATTGGAAACGCGCGGCAGTGGGTAGTTCAGCGTCGGAGCTCAAATTCATTACATCTGGTCCCAGATCATATTTTTATTTTTTTGCATAATATTTAGCTATATAGCTAGATTTTTAATAAATATTTGGATTTTTATGACGTTTTTTTGGCTCCGATCCAACTAGGGAAAAAACCTGATTATTTGTCTCAATTTAATTTTCTGATTTCTATTTCTTTACAGTCTGATAGTGCTTATTAGTGCTTACATTACATCTAAATATATACTTTGCTTGTCTAGTTGTCTGTTTTGGCCTAAATTTTGGTATGACCTCACATGACCCCAGGAAAGGTTTATGGATGGTCAGAATTACAAAAAGTTGTCTCCAAAAAATTATTTTTCGTAAAATTGTGAAAATCGACTAAAAATATTGAAAATCCGCAAAAAAGTTATTTTTATTTTATCGAAGAGAAAATAATCAAAAGTTGAAATTGATGTGCACAAAGCACTCTGATAACCTAGTAACTTTACCGATACGTTTAAATCTAATATATTTTGAAACATCACAGGTATCCGACATGTTGCAAAGAAATGAGGATTTTGGCTGTTTTAAATTACAACCTTCTGAATATTTTACTGAATGCAATATTGAAGATAATGTTTTCTGAGCTGGAGGTCAAAGCAAGTTTTAATCAATTTTTTTTCTAATAATTTTTTTCTATCTTTATTAAGGTTAAATTATATTATAGCGAAGTAATACAAGTAAATGTTGGTACAGAGTAGCAGTAGCCGAGGTAACTTACGTTAAGCTAAAGTAAATTTCATATTAGATTAAAATCTTATATACGTTCGTGATATTGAAGAGCTTTCAAGAAAAACAAGAATGTTTAGAATTTTTAACATTTAACCGGATAAATTTGCTTTTTAATACTTGTGCATAAAATCCAAACTAGAGAAGCTACAAGGTCACAAAGCCGTTAGAGTATTTTTACATACAATTTTCTTTCTGTCTAGGTTGCAGTGAACTTGTGTGCATACAATTAGTATGGAATAGCTCGTCTCCAGTTTGCTTTCTGTACTGTTTTTGTTTCAAGGCAGCTTCCCCACCAATTTCGAGCCGTGCAAACCTACATCCAAATAGTTTTTTTAAGTGAATATTTATGATTAATTTTTTACGATTATAATATATTGGCTCTGTTTCTCTTTTTGTTTGTATCTTATGGCTTTACAAATCAGGCCCAATGGAATTAATTAAGTCGTTACAACAAACTCAGACTTCTAATAATGATATTTTTTAACCTGATGGTGTAAAGCTTTGATATTTCGAACTTAGAACATTTTATCGGAAAAAAATCATAGTTTAAAATATCTAAGGTCTACAAAAATTGGTCGCAAAGAAAATTAGAAAATTGAGTTTGCGACAAAGACTTAAGTCTTTTTTTAAAGAAGCTTACTCCCCTTCAAGAAAGATTCATGGTCGAAATAAAAAAATTTCATTTTCTGAATAATTTTGGAAATCCACCAATAAAAGTTGTCATTATTACTTTAGTTTGGTCTTGGCAACAACAGTTGGCGTCGTAAATATAAAAAGACAAGGATGACGACATTTGATTTCAATTTTTGATTTATACTAACCTTTTAATGGTATAGATACACATAAGCATGGAAACATAGAAAAACTGTCTATAACAGCTTCTCTGTGTTTACTTTAGTAAACTTGTATTTTGAAAATAGTTTGTAATAAAATCAAAACTTGAATTGAAAAGTCGTCCTCGTTGTATTGATATAACAGCCGACCATTGTATACGAATATTTACCTCTGAATGTGTAAATGTAAAGCAAGGTATTGTTCCAATATTAAAGAACAAATTTCCTACAATGTTTCCCGAGTTTGTGTGGGTCATCTTCAAACAGGATCTAAACCTGAACAAGAATATGGGTCATCTTCAAACAGGATCTAAACCTGAACAAGAATATGGGTAATCTTCAAACAGGATCTAAACCTGAACAAGAATATGGGCCATCTTAAAACAGAATCTAAACCTGAACAAGAATATTGGTCATCTATAAACAGAATCTAAACCTGAACAAGAATATGGATCATCTTCAAACAGAATCTAAGCCTGAACAAGAATATGGGTCATCTATAAACAGAATCTAAACCTGAACAAAAATATGGATCATCTTCAAACAGGATCTAAACCTGAACAAGAATATGGTTCATCTTCAAACAGAATTGAACAAGAATATGGGTCATCTATAAACAGAATCTAAACCTGAACAAAAATATGGATCATCTTCAAACAGAATCTAAGCCTGAACAAGAATATGGTTCATCTTCAAACCTGAACAAGAATATGGGCCATCTTCAAACAGGATCTAAACCTTAACAAGAATATGGTTCATCTTCAAACAGGATCTAAACCTGAAAAAGAATATGGGTCATCTTCAAACAGGATCTAAACCTGAACAAGAATATGGGTCATCTATAAACAGAATCTAAACCTGAACAAGAATATGGGTCATCTTCAAACAGAATCTAAACCTGAACAATAATATGGGACATCTTAAAACAGAATCTAAACCTGAACAAGAATATGGGCCATCTTCAAACAGGATCTAAACCTGAACAAGAATATGGGTCATCTTCAAACAGAATCTAAACCTGAACAATAATATGGGACATCTTAAAACAGAATCTAAACCTGAACAAGAATATGGGCCATCTTCAAACAGGATCTAAACCTGAACAAGAATATGGTTCATCTTCAAACAGGATCTAAACCTGAACAAGAATTCGAACATAAATATTCGAATTTATAATAAAGGGTTACCCACACAGGATGAGACTATAAAGAATACTTGAAACTCTTTAAATATTTAAAAATTTAGCAAAGAATGAATTAAGTTTACAAACAATGGACACCATTAATCTAAAAAACAAACAGTATTAATTCCGTATAGTCATCTCTGAAATCTCAACCTTTGTGTGAAACCCTGTAACATTCACAGTTCCATGAAATATTTTTAATATTAACATGATTATTATCTTTACCATGTATAACATTGTACGATGTGTATGTTTTAAGCACATATTATTTACATGATGTGGATACTTTTTATCATTTTTTATATTCATGTTCTGAAGTAAACAATTGTTTTCATATCTAATCATTTCGTTTGAAAATTCAGTTTTAAAATAATATTCATTTTAATGTTAAAATTGATGCCCAAGTTGTTGATATAATGTATTTATAATTTAGTTTCTTGTTTATTCTTGTTTTGTATATTTTTATATTCATAATAAAACTATGTTGCGCTTATGTTAACTTAAAATATATTTAAGTGATTTTTTATTTCTCTGACTGCTCGTAGGATTTCTCAATTTTTCTTCCAAAATTAACCGAACACGATGGAAGATGCATTAATAGGATTTCTGAGAAAAATGTTTCAGACTGTATTTCTAAGATACTAGATATATTAGATTACAATTTCCTAGAAGTTAAGCTATTTTTAGCATTTAATTATTTAAATAAATATAAAAACAAGATCTAACATTTACTTGTAAAGAATGTCAGTCTTTCAGACAAGAAAATTTATTATTAGGAAGGTAAGCGATTATATCAATATAATAAAGACGACTTTCAATTTCAATTTTGATTTATATCAAGCTGTTAAACAGCATAGATAGTAGATACAAATAAACATAGAAGTCAAGAGAAGCTGTCAGTTAAAAAAGCTTCTCTTTGATTACTTGTAAACTTGCAATTCGAAAAAAACAATCAAAATTTAAATAAAAATTCGTCTTCATTGTATTTATATAATCGCCTACCACTGTATTATTTATATGGTAGCCTACCTATCATCGCAGGTACAATGCATCACCGTATGAAACCTAAAAAATAAACCAAAATCAATTATTTGTTGTTGTTATTTTCATTCCATGAACAATTTAATCTGACTAAAGATAGTTTTAACAGAAATTATTGCTAAGAATAAGTTGGATCCAGAATACGATTAAACTTTTCTGTCGCATGTGTGTGGGGTTGTCAAACGTTTTTAAAAACAAACCATTCGTTTTGAACTTTTAAAAACTTTACGCTCGTTTTATTAGAAATTTTATGCTTATATTATTTGGTGTATCAGAATTCATAGTATAAAATATCTAAGTTGTACGACATTGGTTTGCAAAGATATGTGATGAGAAATCAGAGTTTGTGTCAAAAACTCTATTCCATTAAGACACACAAGTTTCGTAAACAAATTCTGAATATTAATCAAATGTCCAATAAAGTATACCAACCTATAGTTAGTAAGTCCATATTTAGTTTGACCGGCTTGAATACTAATCTGACAACCAAGGTCATGTTGCCGGCAGCACCTAGAGTTTAAACCAAGTTATTAAAGGGATTGTAAGCGTAATATCAAGTGAACCTCCATGCAAAGAGAGAATGCCCGATTTACACCGGTATACACTTGAAATCTTTATATTATCAATAGTATAAGATATCAATGTTTTTGTTTCTTTAAACTTTTCATTTGAATATGTCTTGCTTTTTCGCAACATAGGAGAAACACACAGAAATAAACACTTTTTTCAGTCAGAAAAACGACATCTTTGATAATAGTATGGTTTCAATGTTTCCTTTGAAAATCAGGTACATCGCCATCTTTGCATGGATGGTCTGTGGTCACTTGAAATTACGCTTACAGTCCCCTTGACACCAAATTTGTAAAATGAGTAATTCAAATTTCGATTTTTTAATTTTTTAAAAAATTCTTGTACAGCGAGAATCAAAAAACATGAAAGCAATAATTGACTTACATAGTTATAGTAATATTTATATTTCATGTTCTACAAGAAACTATTAAATCTCTTATAAAGTCAATTGAGCCTGTTTTCCACTTCTCAATTGCTGTGTCTACTGTCTAATGCTCTTACTTTGTACATGGTTATCACAAGGATAATACTTCAAAGACGATTGAATGGAATTTGTTTCATACGTTTGTTTGCATTCAGGGATCCTTGCAGACCAAAACTGACTTATTTCTACGCTAAATAATTAAGTAACCCATAAAAATATTCAATTTAAAATAGAAACCAAAAATCAAGCTTCAAATGTCATATTTTTACGATTTTGGGTCGTCTCTTTAGTACTATCAGTCTTTGCGAGTAACCCTGAATATAAAGTTATCAATTATTTCCTATTAAAGAGTTTCCTGGATCTCACAGTATATTTATTTATATTTGTTCGCGAACAGAATTAATGAATTTAAACTTTTAATTTTAAATTTGAATCACCATTTTCAATAACTTTGAATAGGTGGTTCAAATTTGAACCGGGTGAAGTTGGTGGTTCAGCGACGTAGCTCAAATTCATATCAAATCGGTTTCAGGATTAATCTTATTATACCATAGTTTTTTTCTTCCCATTTATAAAGAGTATTTAGAAATAGGTAGAGCTTTGGAATAGGAAGACGACTTTTAGAATCAAGTCTGTTTTGAAATAGTCAAATGAACTTAAGACACAGCAATTGGGCAGTATAAACAGACCAATTTCAAGTGATAAATGCATACATAAGATACTAATACAACTATTTTCTTTTTAACAATAAACAATATCAAATACGATTAATTACTGCTTTTATATCGTCTTCCTATTCCAGAGTTTTCTGATTCTGACTTACCTATCTGCAGCACTGTATCCACCAAGTTTAGAAAATGAATCTGTTCTCCAACCTTTACCGCACCACTGGGTTCCAGGCATCCTGTTTAATATACAGGGTTACCCACACAGGATGAGACTGTAAAGACGATCTGAAACTCTTTAAATTTGACAATTTCAAGTTAAATGTATTCTTCCCCCTAAAGAAAATAAGCTTTTTATGGCTTCTATAGTGAATATGTAATAAAATAAACAAGTTTACAGTGACTGGGAATAAAAATCATAAGGAAACAGACAGACAAAATTCCGTACAGTACAGTACAGTACAGTACAGTACAGTACAGTACAGTACAGTACAGTACAGTACAGTACAGTACAGTCGTCTCTAAAGTCTCATCCTTTGTGGATAATTCTGTTCATTAAAAGTGAGTGAAGCTGCCTCAAAAATAAAAAAAATTTATCATATCAATTTAAAGATTAAAATAGATTATAATAAAATTGAATTATGTGCATTTCACATTCCTTAAATTATCAAAGATAGTAATTTGATCGACCTACGGGTAACATTTGTAATTGCAACATTATTTTTGTCTTAAGGTATTCAACTGAAATTATGCTATTAATAATCATCAAAATTTCACCATTTAAGTTTAAATTTTACTTACCGAACAGTTTAAATTTTACTTGCCGAACAATTTAAATTTTACTTACCGAACAGTGTAAATTTTACCTACCGAACAGTTTATGTTACTTACAGAACAGTTTAAATTTTTCTTACCGAGCAGTTTAAATTTTACTTACTGAACAGTTTAAATTTTACTTACCGAACAGTTTAAATTTATTTACCGAACAGTTAAAATTTTACTTTCCGAATAGTTAAATTTTACTTACCGAACAGTTTAAATTTTACTTCCTGAACAGTTTAAATTTTACTTACTGAACAGTTTAAATTTTACTTAGCGAACAGTTTAAATTTTACTTACCGAACAGTTTAAATTTTACTTACCGAACAGTTTAAATTTTACTTACCGAACAGTGTCTAAAAATGATTTGTTTTCGTTTGTTCCTTTGGGCAAAGGCTTCATATACCGAACTAAAAAAAACATATTCAAATTATTTACAACTACTCCATTGGGAAGTTTCGGGAATTTTACTTTAGCAAGGGTTCCAAAGACCAAAATTTTGTCAAAGGAAACACTTGATAAAGTTAAAATTTATGATTTTAGTAGTTTTAACCATTTTAATCGTCTTTTGAGATAAAATGCGCGAATGTGTGCACAGGAACTTAGCAGAGGGGGTGTTTTTTATTTTATTGTCCCAAGGGGCGTTGAGTAACTTAACCTCTCTCTGTTGGGGGAATCATGGGTCAGTAATGTTAGTTAAAAGGCGATAATAATTATTCACAACCACTTTACAGGGAATTGTTAAGTAAATTTTAAACAAGGGTTCCTAAGACCAATTTTGTCTGCAAAATATCCAGAGCAAGCATTAAGAAGTATCCGGACCTCCCTCTGTTGGGGGAATCATAGGTCAGTAATAATAGTTTAAAGACGGTAAAAATGATAAATTACCTTCTGGGTTTGTTTCTAACGGGGTTACATCGGACTTCTCCGGTGTCTGCCAGAGAATGGTTTGCTCGCTGGTTTGAATAGGATCACTGTACAGTCCTGGGTAAATAAACAGTTCATTGATTTAAAAGACACTAGCTAAAGTACCCGGTGTTGCCAGAGGAATTTACAAAAAATCTACTTTTTGAAAGAAAACATTTCTTCCCCCCCCCCTCACCCCTAGAGGTACCCATGAGTTTCCTCAAAAAAGTTCGCCAATAAGGTCGAGCCGTCTAAATAGGTATAGCTGACATATAAAAATATTGATATTAGCGAAGTACTTTAACATACAAATAGGAACTGCACCTTCTGATAATTGCTCAAATATATCTTAAGAAACGTTTAATAAAAATCTAAACGTTCCCCACAAAGATGAGACTGTAAAGACGACCTAAAACTATTAAAATATATCTCTTAATCGGTTAAATTAAGTCTTCTGCCTTGAACTTATTTAAGGAAACAGAGAATAAAATTCCGTACAGTCGTCTCTGTTAAGTCTCTTCCTTTGTGGGTAAGACTTTATCTAACGCCCTTTCCACTTCCGTCACATATATTGTTATCAATAAAAAATGATTGAGATTAAAATTAGTCGTTACTTAATAAAAATCAAATTTAAGATAATAAATTAAATTAATTGGAATATTAATGCTGATTGCTGAGGTAGCAGAGATAAAAATATTTTCTTTTTGTTTATATTGCATTTTGATCATTTACTTAAAACCTGCTAAATTATCATAATAAAGCTATTAATAATATTATTTACAATAATTTTTTAGGTATCCAAAATCATAGCTCCTTATTTTCGTGTGACATGCAGTTTATCTATTTGTCATGTCTTATAATGCGGGACAATATGTTTTTTTTTGGCCGGGCTCTTTTAGTTTTTTGTTTGTTTGAACCGAAAACAAACAAAAAATAAAAATATCACAAGAAAAAATATAATTTCCCAAATGATCAAACAAGAAAGTTGAATATATAAATCTAATTCAATTCAAGTTTGATAAAAATGTGCGATTATTTTAAAACTCCGCGAAATAGAAAGGGAATCTTGAATTTAAAAAATCCCCGGGCATGGGAATACACAAAAAGTCTTGATTTTCTTGAGCCCCATTGTTAAGTTGAATGTCAAGACTCACATGAGGAAATCAAAACAAGATGAAAATATTGAAGATGGTTTTAATGATAAAATCATTAGTGCCCGAATTTAATGAATTTAAGCCGGCCGCGTCTGATATCCCCCAAAACCGGTTTCAATTGAGCGCCGGCAAATCTTGAAAAATTTAATGCTAATTTATGGGAACCAACAAAATTTGAGCCGCGGCTTAAATTCTTTAAATTCGGCCTTAGGTTAATTTTCTTAAATCTACCTTTAGCATTTAGATGAACTATCCAAAGAGATGTGAGAACAATGTGTAACCAGCCCGCCATTTATTGATCTAGTCCTCTAGTTCTTTTGTCCTGTAGTCCTCAATCTTGTCCTCTAGTCCTGCAGTCCTGTAGTACTGTGGTCCTCTAGTCCTGTAGTCCTCTAGTCCTGTAGTCCTCTAGTCCTCTAGTCCTGTAGTCTTCTAACCCTGTAGTCCTCTAGTTCTCTAGTCCTCAAGTCCCAGTACAAGTTAGCTTCTAATATGTCAGACTTTTCACTGATTGTTTTACGTTTTTATAAATTTTCTCAAAATTCAAGCTGATTCTTTTACCCTCAATAAATCCTAAATAGATAATATTATTATTATATTAAACCAAGTTACTTCTAGTTAACTGTATAACCATTGCGAATTCAATACATGTAAATATTTCATCAACATTGCTCATCTTTTTAAATAGTTTTACCCTCAATAAATCCTAAATAGATAATATTATTATTATATTAAACCAAGTTACTTCTAGTTAACTGTATAACCATTGCGAATTCAATATTTGTAAATATTTCATCAACATTGCTCATCTTTTTAAATAGTTTTAGGCCAACATGACGGGTCTAGAATACATGAATTGCGTTTGTTTATTTGTGTTGTCTCAAACTTAATAGTTAGAAAATACAAAAAATATGTAAACTTTTTATTCTGAACCGAAAAATAAGGAAGGTAAAACTGACCTGGTCAATTTTTTGGTGGTCACTCACATGACCCCAGGATTTTATCGATATCAGAATTTTAATGAAACGACTTTATGGACTTCCGATCTTCCGAAATCTGGGAAATGTACTTTATAATGATAACAAGAAAATCAGGAAATTTTAAGTATTGAGATTTTTAACAACATGGCGGGTGTCCTGTAAAACTAGTGATTTATCGCTTGTAAATGTACGAGAAATTGCTAAAGGGACTGTAAGCGTAATTTCAAGTGACCCTCCAGTACAGGATAACAGTGTCTGATTCACAACTGTACCCTTATAACATTAATCAGATCAAAAATGTCGTCGTTTTTGTGTCTTGGAAAGTGTTTATTTCTGTGAATTTTTACATTTTTTACTGAAGTCACATTTTCAGAGAAAGCACAACAATAAACAGTTTCAATAAACAAAAACATGCATATCTAAATAATTCTATATCAGAAAAAGCGTTTAAGGGTACCGTTGTAAATCAGGCATTGCCATCTTTTCATGGGTCACATGAAATAGCGCTTATAACAGGCCCTTTAGACTTGATCAGGATTTTTATTAAATTATTTCTAGATTGCAAACCTACTTGTTCTTTAGTAAATTGTAAATATGTTCTCCTGATGGTGCGATGTTTTAAACTGAAGTTGTATTGAAAGCATATGCTTTATATGGCGACACGTGTTATATGATACACCCTAAGAATCCGTAGTATCAACAGTAGTATCATTTTCAACGCATCAAAGCTTTCATGTTGAGGATAAAGTACGTAGTAAAACACTTGGGGGCCCGGTCTATTAGGAGGAAATAGGCAGATGTATCGTAAGATCTAGAACGTTATAGAGATGGGCCGTCATGTCAGTTTAAATTATTTTTTTTTTCATGCTTTCATCGTTCGTGCTGGAATACTTCTAATTGTTTAACACTGTGTTTGTAAGAAATGTCATCCCTCAATAGTTACTTTCTATAATTGGCGAAAAATAAACATTTACTTTTAAATCCTGAAAAACCACTTTTAACATAAAAAAAACGATATTTTCATGGAACGCTAGTAATGGAACAGCTGAGCTGAGTTCCAACAGCGTACACCAGGTTTTAGAACAACAGCTATTTAACACATTTATACTCAATGAACACTCAATGGAACAGATGTGCTGAGTTTCAACTGTACACAGCGTACACCAGGTTTCAGAATAACAGCTATTTAACACATTTATCCTCAATGAACAGTCAAGGGTACTGATGTAAAGCGGCCACTGTCCTCTTTGCATGGAAGGTTACTAGAAATTACGCTTACAGTCCCTTTAAGTCAGAAAGTCTTTTAAATCTCGGGATCTAGCATTGATCTCCGTATTATGATGCAGGATTAATTCAATTAATTTCCTGCCCTGCAGGGATAACGAAAATTAGGAGATCATTCGAGATCCTTAAATTTAAAAGTGTCCAAAAAAGATAACGAGATCAAAGTTCAAGATTAACTATATCCCACACAAAAGTTTTGTTCTCTTGTTTATGTTTTATTTATCTAGTCATAGGACATTGAATAGAAGGTTTTTAGAAATAATACCAGATTCAGAATTTAATGAATTTGAGCCGCGTCTCAAATCCGCCAAAACCAGTTCCAATTGAGCGCCGGATTAAATTTTGAAAAACATACTTAAATTTTGAATATTATTAAACTAACAACGACAAATTTAACATTCAAGGCTTTTTCACTCTTAGTCATTTTATCCATTTAATAATTATTAAAAGAATTCTATAAATTGTTTCATGTAATTAGGGAAAAGTAAAGATTATGTAGAAAAGTTCTAAATATCCTTATTTTAAGAAAAATTGTCGGAATGAACAGAAAATATTTTCAAGGTTACTCACGAGTTTTTGATGCAAATTTTACACGTTTCACTTGTCACAAAGTATGAATAACAGATTAGATAACATATATTATACGTAGTTTTAAACGAGTTTTTTATGCAGATATTTACATGTCTGGTTAAAAACGCAGTGAGATTGTTGTACTTTAGCATATAAATGGAAATACTGGTACCCTGATTAGTTAGGTTACCGGGTTAGCATGAATACAATAAATTCACTAAAATTGTGAATAAGACTCTTTTCTTATATATATATATATTATATATCTATATATAAAACGTTGTAACATCTGTTTGTTTGTTTGTCAGATCATAACTCAGGAACACCTGGACCGATTTGCTTCAAATTTTTATTGGGGAACTCTGTAGACCCACGGAAATGTTCTTAGCTTGGTTTTTAGATTCTAAGTTGAGTGGGTCGACTTTAATAACGAAAATTTAGTAAGTAAGTAAGTAATCTTTTACTTTTGAAAAATAACAAAAACATACAAAATTAAGTGTTTAGGAGAAAATATTTGAAAACCTCCAAAATAGAAGTTGGGGGTCTATTTCCCCCCAATCCTAAAAAAAAATATAAAAAATGAAAGGAAAAGGAAAGTTACACATTTATTGTTTACATTATATTTAATAAAAACCAGTGGTGGATTGTTAGTATTTTTCGACGATGAACAAACAACTTTTAAAAATAAAAATGATAGATTTATTTGTAATGTTTAGAGAAATAAAATAGTCCTAATGGGTTGTGAAAAATTTATAGGTTTTACGCAAAATGGGTATTTTGAAGCATCTTTTTAATTCGCGCCGATTTATGAAATCCTTTATGCTTGATTATATCTTTAATTCTTTTTAATCTTTTTAGACTTTTCTTTGTAAAATCGTCTTTGCTTTCTTCGATTCGTTTGCAAACATAGCATGTGTTAGAATTTATACATTTGTTCTGCTAATAAAATTTTTTAATTAAATTCTGTTTAAAATTCGAAATAAGATTGATATTTGAAAGATTTGAAAAGTGTCGTTTTTTTCATACCTTATTTTAGGGAAATTGTGAGGGGGAGCAGTCCAATTTTAATAGATTTTACTCTAGGAATAGAAAAATCATTTCTGTTTATAAGATTTGCGTTTTTGATATTTTTTGATAATGTGAAATCTTTTTTAAATGTTGGTGGTAATTGGTCTTCTTTAAATTGAAATAAAAATTTTATAACATTAAAAATTCCTAACTTTCCGAAGGGGAGCATGTTCAAAGCCCAAAAAGCTTCCACTGTGTGACTTATTCTAGGTAACCCCAACTATAGACGAATAGCTTTCTTTTGCAATGATTTTATCCTATCAATATTTTTGTTAGAAGTTAGCATTAGAAATGTTTAACTAAAATCAAAAATGATTATTTAATTAATTAATTAATTAATTAATTATTTAATAATAATTATTTACAATTACTTTAAAGAGAAGTTAAAGAAAGTTTATTTTACCAAGGGTTCCCAAGATTAATTTTTGGAAAAATTGGTCTTGATTGATACGCGTAAATCTTAATTGATACGCTTAAACCTTGATTGATAAGCGTAAACCTTGATTGATACGCGTAAACCTTGATTGATACGCGTAAACCTTGATTGATACGCGTAAACCTTGATTGATACGCGTAAACCTTGATTGATACGCGTAAACCTTGATTGATATGCGTAAACCTTGATTGATACACGTAAAGCTAGGAATGTTCTGGACTGCGCACTCTTTATGTAAAATTGCATAAGCATTTTATTCACATTCTTCGCAAATGTTCTAGCTAGCAGGTTTCGTGATAATTGTTTATGTAAGAGTAACATGCGTATTACAGCTCAAGGGGTGGAAATTTAAAAAGTTTTAGAGACTTCATTTTTAAAAAATTTCTTATTTGCTTGATACTTTTTATTTTTCATATTTTCACACCCAATATTTATGTATTAAAGTAAACAAACACGTATTAAATTTTGAACTAAAAGCAACTTTAAATAGAGAATCTGTCAACATAAAATTGGTGTTTCATAAAACGGCGCCCTTTAAAACTTAATATACACTACAGAGAATTATTTAGGTTAAACCCGAAACCGAGGACTCAGATGTATATTCACAACTGCAGGTTCCAATTTTAGCTGAAATTTTATAGATTTTTACCTTTAAAATTCATTTCAAAGTATTTTCTTTTTTAATGGTTTTCTAAGATGATTTATTTGCGACTGAAGAAAAACCCAAAGAATTGATTGTTTGCATCCTACTATCACGATATTACAGTGAAAACTCTGAAATAGGAAGACGACTTTTAGAACCAAATGATAACTTCGAAAAGTTTAATGAGCAAATTTGCAGTGTAAACAGACCTTTTTCACTGAATTAATGATTAAATAAGTGTCTAGTAAAACTATTCACTTTGTTACATCCAAAGATAATATATATATATAGATCAACGATAATATATATATAGATATGCAGGCAGGTAGAAACCTCCTTCCTAAATTGCCTGTAGCAGACAACTAATTTTTGAACCTCTGAAAAAATGTGCACAAAGAGACATCTATAGCAAATTGATTACTTTCTATATGCCTTTCTCCCCTTTCTGCTATCTGTAGGAAATACGCATTTGTGTTATATAAACATACAGTACGCGTATTGCATCCTGTATAGTTCAAGTGTTGCTATCTGGACCTGTTTGACCAATAAAATTAAATTTCTAGGTAACACAAACATACAGTACGCGTTTTGTTTATGTTATGATCAGATCAGTTGTAATTTGTCCTAGACTCGATGTACTTTTATAGTCATAATTTTTATTTAAATTGCGTTAATTTACGTATGCCATTCAGTACGACTTGCACATTTAAACCATGTCTAGTCAAATTCCTACCTCAGTTTTATTTGCATTGATTAATTTGTTTCATTAAGTACAATATGCAGTATACATTGTTGATACTATAGTACGCATTTAGTGTTATCACGCATAAACAAAGTGATAAATTAGCAACAATCCAGAGGATAAAATGCCATGCGTACGACAAAGATGATGCTGTGTGCACATTATCTCAAGACCTCTAAATTTATACCTGTCTGCATATCTATATATATATTATCGTTGATATAGATACGCTGGCGGGTAGAAATTTGAGGTCTTGAGAAAAGGTGCAATCAGCACCATCTCTGTCGTACGCATGGCATTTTATCCTCTGGATTGTTGCTAATTTATCAATGTGTTTATGCGTGATAACACTAAATGCGTACTATAGTATCAACAATGTATACTGCATATTGTACTTAATGAAACAAATTAATCAATGCAAATAAAACTGAGGTAGGAATTTGACTAGACATGGTTTAAATGTGCAAGTCGTACTGAATGGCATACGAAAATTAACGCAATTTAAATAAAAATTATGACTAAAAAGTACATCGAATGCGAATCTAGGACAAAGTCCTAATAGCGGACAGGATCCGGTCGAACAATACATCCCATTCAACATTACTATGGTCGGTTGCTCCTGGCTCTTCATGGCTCACAACTGGCTCATCACCCCCTTCACCCCAAAATCTCAAAAAAAACTCCATTACTTTCCTAAAATGATCATCCAGGTTTGGTGCGCTCAAAACTTCAATTGGATTGGTATATAAAAAAGAAATGAGCCAGCCCCAGTCCATTATCCCCTTTGATAGCCTTAGTTTAATTTTTTAAAATAATTCAAATGTGCCATGAAATTACCCAAATAAGAAAACAGCCCCTTTAAACCTCTGTTTTTTTAAACTTTCCAAAAGCATAGGAAAATTCTGCAGACAAATGCAGGAAGGAACTGTTAATCTTTTCTTTGTTATTGTGCAATAAAGTTAGCCCCATTCCGGCTGGGGGGGGGGGGTCTCTGGTTACCCCCCTCCCCCTGACATTTTTGGAGACTATAAAAGTATTGGTCTGAGGCTCTTCAAACTTTTTGAGTTTTCTAACTAACACATGCCCATCACTTTTGGCGCAAAGTGGGGATTTTATACCTACTGCCTGAGTCTTTTGGCATATTGCCTGAATGCCTTTTCTTACCTTTACCCGACTAAATCTATATTTAGACCTACCTCCGGTCATTGGATTTCGACTTCTTACAACTCTTTGGAAAGCCTTTAACAAAAGAAAGCCGATTGCACAACTTTTGCGAAGAAATTCTGCAAATATTTTTGCATATATAAATTTGCCGAGGCAAAGGCTTTTAAAAACTTAATTCAGAATTAAAATATAAAAATTTACTACACTGCAAATTTTCTGTATTTTATGTTCATTGGACTGTTGAAAATAAAAATTTGAGCCTGAAAGCCATCTACATTTTTAGAAAAAGGTGTCTTCAAAGTTCAACTTGTCTAAAACATTTAGATCTTTTTCTCTCTTACTGCATAACATAATCAAAACGCGTACTGTATGTTTGTGTTACCTAGAAATTTAATTTTATTGGTCAAACAGGTCCAGATAGCAACACTTGAACTATACAGGATGCAATACGCGTACTGTATGTTTATATAACACAAATGCGTATTTTCTACAGATGGCAGCAGGGGGAGAAATGAATATAGAAAGTAATCAATTTGCTATAGATGTCTCTCCTTGCACATTATCTCAGAGGGACAAAAATTAGTTGTCTGCTACAAGCAATTTAGGAAGGAGGTTTCTACCTGCCAGCGTATCTATATATATATTATCTTTGGTTACATCAAATTCATTTAAGTTTGTTTAAATGTCGTCTTCTTGGTTCTTGTTATTACTGTAGAATATGTATAAATGAACAGAAAAAATTGAACCACTTTCCGTCCGCGTCAGCTATAGTATTTTTTTATTTACACTGTAGAATATTGACTTCGTTATTAACAGTTCTGAAGTGCGTTTGATGTTGTTTCTAATCTTGGTTTAAAAGTTCTAAGTTGATTGGGTTGATTGATAATTGTTGATTGGGTTGACTTTTGCAGAGAAAGTTGGCTTTCCAAGTTAGTCTGTAAATGAAAATCTACATTAAGTGTATGAAGTAATGATGCTATACGCATAAACTTAAACAAAAATATTTTCATTCAGTTGTCGGCCTTTTTATCAATACTATGATGACGACTTTTCTATTTAAGTTTTGATTAATAACAAGAATTTCCAAAGTTTACAAGTAAACACAGAGACACTGTTAATTTTACAGCATCGCCTTGTTTCCATTGTAATATGTATCCAGTTAAAAATTCAAAATTAAATTGTATTGATGTATACGACGACGACTGTATTACTATACAAGCCATACACAGGTTTTAATTCTTTAGGATTCATTTGAGACATATTAAACTTGTTAAAGATCTGTAAATCCTGAGTTTGAGCGCATAGTCGACATTCAAAATCGTACTTTTGGGTGGATATGTTTTCAGAATTTTTAAGAGATCAGTTATCTATTCTTCTTAAAAATCCTCAACCCGTATAAAAACAAGACATGCAATATAACAGCAATTATAGTTAACTTTTTTTTTATAAACACCATAATGCATAGGGATGGGATGTCTAAAAAATTAAGCAGAAAAACCCATATTCCATAGTTGACCTTTCACACCCTCTGCAGTCTGCAGTCATGACCGAGTCCAGATCCTGGGCTGTGGCACTTGGTGCAGTGTTAATAATCAAAAAATATTGTTTAGCACATTCAATATTGTATTCGATGTAAAGATACCCGGAGAACCTAACAGAGTTAATATTTCAAACTTGCAAAGATATTAAGATCAGAAAAATTCAAAGTGTGTTGCAAAGACTCAATTCCTTGTAATTCAGTCCCTCAAATATGGAGGTAGGGACAGGGAAACGTGCCCCCCTTTTTACCTCCAAAAGGGGGGCACTGAGACAAATGAAAAAATGAAAAAAAGAAAACGAAAATGAAAGAAAGAAGGAAAAAAGGGGAGAAAATTGGCATAATATCAAGTTTTTGTAATGAATATTTGTTGAGTTCAAGGAGGGGTATATATTTTCCAAACTATGGTCCTGGACAATTTAAGGTCTCAAGTTGGCAATAGAATGTTGGCAATAGTTGGCAATAGCGTCTATAACTGGCAATAGGAGGCAATAGTTGGCAATAGCGTCTATAACTGGCAATAGGAGGCAATAGTTGGCAATAGTTGGCAATAATAGGCAATAGAAGACAAGAGTTGGCAATAGTTGGCAATGGATGACAATAGTTGGCAATAATGGGCAATAGTTCCAGAGGTCTTCTCAAATTCACCACAAATCCAAAGAAGATAATACATGCAGTAGGTATATTTCAATTCTATAAATAAGTATGGTTAACAACAATGTTTTTATTATATTATCAAACATCCTTACTAGTTGAGGATGGTGGGGTGAATTGAGGCGTCTGGTTATCAAGAATAAAATAACATTTAAACTTCTAAAATAAAATGACAATTGATTATCAATGTAAATCACTATTTTTTTATGAATATTATTCTTTTGTTTAACTTTTTGAAATTTTATTACTACACATGAAGTTTGTTCATATTTTTGTTAGAGATGGGGGGGGGGGTGTGAACATTTTTGGTTTGGCTGTCGTAGAATTCTTGGTCAAAGATGACTTTACAATGGAGTATCCATTGTTTAGGGTTAACAATATTATGTGTAAAGGTTTAATTTTTCTCAAATTAAAGAAAATAGTACTTTTTGAAAAAAAAATTTCAATAATTTATAATTCTTTATTTTAAATTATGATTTTAGATTATAAATTGCATTAATAAAAACTTATTTATAATTTTTAATTTTAAATTAAAACTAAAAATCATAAATTTATTTGTTTGTATTTTAAGAAACCGATCTGTTTCCCTTCTTTAATAATGAACCACAGTACAGCAAAAAAAAAGCACATAACATTTTAAAATTTGATTTTGAAGTTTTCTGCAATTTTAATCACAGAAAAAATCGAAATTAACTGTTTATAGCTTTTTTGTTTCCGTTTTTAACCAACTTGATAATTTTTTTCATAAACCCCTAATCCATTTTGTTACTGATCTAAAAAATAAGGGTTTTTGCCATTGGTTAATAGACTCTTCTTTTGATTTTCAAAAACCTCCATTTTGTTAACAGAACTTTGCCCAGCCCTATTCATGATTGTACTCTCTCCAACTCTAACATATCACTCTAGATTTTAAACATCTGTCTTGTTTGCCAGAATATATATTTCATTGTAAACCAAAACATCTTCAGATGGCTAATAAATATCTTTTTTAGAAGTGAATCAAGCAAATATAAGCTTGGTTGTTTAAATGATTCCCAAGGACACTCTTTAAAATTTTATCAGATTAAATTTGAGGAGGACATGTCTGTTTTACTATTCATTTTATTCTTTTGTTTCTGCATTTAAGGATTTAACAATGCTACCCAAAATGTCTATGAATTTAGTTTTTCAAAGCATCAAGCATAATGATAAAATGATTTAAATGTAAAACATCATCAAAACGTCTATGAAATGACTCATTTTTAAAACAAAATTTTGCAGGGAGGCTATTTTCTTATTCCCCATACCTTGTANTACATCCCTGCTACCTCCACCAAACCACTCTCCCTGCAATCGTGCTCCATTAATCAGCATCGTTTTTGTGAACAATTATAAAATATTTCAAAATCAAACTAAATTTGTGAACTATGGTATCATTCAACAAACGAATTGGATTGTTAAGAAAAGTTAAAAACAGTAATTTTTTAAAAAAAGAGCAAAAAAAATGATTTCAGTGAAAAAAACAATTTTACTGAAAGATTGTTCAGTGAGAAAACTAACTAAATAGATGGAAAAATAACGATATTTATCAATGAAATCAATTTCTTTTGAAATTTTTTAACAAAAAAGAAAACAACAAAATGCAGTCGATCAGAAACCATGAACAAACAAAATGATCAAAAGCAGAACGGGCCAATCTCTAATTACAGCATGATTAATTTTTAACAGATTTTTAAAGATTTTAATTAATTAAAATCTTGAAAAATTTTATTTTACTGTGAATTCATTATAATTTGAAGAAAAATGTTTTGGTAACCAATATGATATATTTAAAGGTTTTTTTAAAACTTTTGGATTAATCTATATATTACGTTAAAAGTAATGCATTATGTTAACAAAACCTGGAGAACATTTGCAAAAAGGATTTCAAATTTTGTCTCAAAGTGCGAAAATTTTCCATTAAACCTAGGTGTTGTTCATAAAACCATTTTTATTTTACAAAAACATACAGAATTGTCATATAAATGTTAGTCGTTCCTAATTTTAGAGATTTAAAGGTGAAAGGCTAAAACTTGTGCATGTTAGTAATATTTTCCCACAATATGAATAACACTTTTTAAGAGAGCATTAAAAACATCCAGAAAGCAGAATCCAAAGAGTATTCCAACCCAGCCTCCGAACTCTGCAGCAAACTCCCAGAATGTGTAGATGTACTCACTTTTAAGAACCTGGATATTCCTGGGCTTCCTGATTATTAGATTCTTCTTTTCAGATTCCTAGAAGAAAACAATCAATGAAACAGCAACTATTTTTCTAAATAATAAACAAACCGTTTTATTTCTGTAGAACAGTTCAACATCCAGTATACTTTTCCTGCATGGTTGCAAACATTTACTTAAACCAAGTTTAAAGTTTGCGGATAGCTCTGTCATTTCATTTAAAGTTACAGACACTTTTAAAGACAGTTAATACAAGTTTGAAATATATTAACCATTTTTGCAAAGTTTTTCTGTTATCTTATATTGAATGAATTTTAAGTAATTACATGGCATTTGATTTTTTAAAAATTCTTTTTATTTGAATTACTGTCAATATTCCTGTTAGCTGATCTGATGATGGTAGAATACATTTTTCAAATTTGTTTCCTGGATTCCTTAATTTACAAAATTCTCAGTACAGTTCAGGAAACGAATTGGCTAAATTCTCATTTAGCGCAAAAATTTATTGATTTTATTACTTATAATTCCTTAAGTTCTAAATGTAAAATAACTAAACTGGACAAATGGACAAAGGCACAAATATAAATTTCATATTGTTTGCTTACTTTATGTTAAACAAGATGCATCCGTGTGTATTGTTAAATTCTTGCGATATATAATCATCTCTGCATGAATCATAATCTATTAAGTTCAAACAGACATTATCTTCTTCAATATTTTGAATCTGTTTAGCATTTAAAAGAAGAGTTGAGCTCTTCTGTAGCTTTTCTCCTGTAAGCTTCAAAGAAGTTTCCCCCGTAATAAAGCCAGGATCATGGAGAAATATAGCTTCTTCTGAATAAAGACTATGAACAATTTTCAACTCTTCTCCAGTGAAAGGCATTGTTTTACATAAGTAAACCAAGAATCGTTCTTCTTCCCATATAAATATTTTTGACAAGGCATCTTTATATTCAATCCATTCAGCATCTTCTTTACTTCTTTGAAATATTGAGTCGAAATTTTGAAGTTCTGAAATATTTTCCATAGGCCAGTGAATCTGTGTGTTACAGATTGATATTGAAATATTAAGATTAGGATCTGTTTTCATGTATTCTATTTTAGTTCCTGTCAGGCTACTCTGCAGCTTCTGTGTTGAGAGTGTTAGTTGGTAGAGTATAGCAGCAGATAGTCCAATAACAATACAAAGGAATATCTTAAGTCTAATTTTTTGGCCAAGTTTTCCTCTGATAACATATCCAAAACCTAACACACTGAACACAAGATTTAGTTTTCAGAAAAGAAAAAAAAAATTAATAGACCTGTATCCTAGCAGTAGCCCTGTCCATCCTCCTACTTCTCCAATAAGAGAAATCATATCATATGATGAAAAAACCTAATAGAGATTTCATACTGTTATTATGATATAATTTATATTGTTTAAACCCAAGAAAATACCCGCCATATCATTTTCCTTAAACAAAAAATAAGGTAAATGATTTATTACAGCTTTGAGGTGGCTCTGCAAAGAAAAGTTCAGCATATTGAAAAATTTAATTTTTTGACAAAAATTGCTGTAAGAAAACTTGGTGATTACGTAGCCTTTAACACTTGACAGTCCTAACTTTGAATGCATTTGTAAGTATTGTTTACCTCCTTTACCACTATTGATTGGGGAAATTCCAGATCAAATTGAAAAGGTCTACTATAACCAATCCAAGCAAAATTTGAATCAGTCAGGCTGGTAAGGGTAAAGGTTGTCTGAAGCTTTATATTTGGTTTATTGCATTCACCAAGTTTTATAATATTTTCCATCTGAATAAAAACACTTTTAAACATTGATTCATCAATCCCATTGGAAATTGTCTTGGATTCCTCAGTTTTCAAAATATTCTTTATTTGGGAATTATTTGCAACTTTGTCTAGAATACAGTCATCATAGGAGTAATATTCATCATATCCGTCTTCAAAAATCCTTCTTTGATTTAAAATATTAAGATGAAACAAGTGAGATGAATAGATAACATAACCAGATCTTTTCCTAAAAATAGTTAAGTAGTAGTATTAAACATTAAAAACTTTTTTCAATTGGAAGAAAAACTTCCATGATTTTTTTTTTTTTAGCTAACCATACGACTACATATACAAAAAGGTTAAACAAATAACAAATTAAAAATATCTTTTAGTAGATAAAGGCAAAAATATTCATAGTTTTTTAATGATCTTGATTTAATTTTAATGTCTGACATAACAAAATGGTATCTTACGGATATAAAGTGAAGGTATCTTTGTTCATAAAACTAAATCCCTGTCTTCCTGATCTAAGAAGCTGGCCTGTTATATGAACATATATTGTTAATTCTTTCTTTGCTTCTACTTCCATTTTCTTGATTCTATTCCAGTTTTTCAGATCCAGTGTATGACAAGTCTCAATAAATGTATCAAACTGCAGTGTGTTGATGGAATATAGAATATATTTAGAACCTTGATTCCATGAAGAATCATAGATAGTGACAGAATTCCCATTTTCCAATACTAACTTTATACTTTTAAATGTGTTACTGAGCTTTGTAATATTATTCCAAAATGATGAAGAGTTACCAACATAATAATGATTGGTATCATTGGAGCCTGTTTGATAGATATTCTCAAAAGAACATAGGGATATGCTTACATTATTATAATTCTCCACCATATTTATATCCATTGATTTTTTAGTTCTCAGGAGTTTGAATCCACATAGAATAACTATAATAAGGACGCCGAGTGAACATGCCATTTTTATAATGAAACCACTTTTTGATAAAACTTCTTTTGTAAATCTATTAGTCATAGAACTACTAATCTGGCTCACTGCAAATTCAAAGCCTTCAAGTATTGAGACACCAAGAAAAAGTCCAACCCATCCTCCAAATTCAGCAATAAAAGAAATCAAAGTATAACTTTTATCTGTTTCTGAAGAAAGAACGGATGATGGAATTTGAATGACATAACCTGGGATAAATAGATTGTTGAATGTTATTGGATTTGTCAATACATTTAGCCAGTTCACAGGATTAAGTACCATTTTTACTTTCACTTGGGAGCAAGGAGGAAAACAGTTTTTTGAACTGGTTTGAAATTCATTCATTGCTTTAAAAAGCCCTGTAGACAGTGTAGAGTCATTGCAAAATAAGCTATTACTTAGTTCTCTTCTAAAGGAAATATGATAATGATCCATAAGTTGATGTTCAAAAGTTTGAGTGTCTTCTGTACATTCTGTGGTAGGCATAGAAATCATTTTTTTTACAATAACTTCTAAATCTATTTTAACAATGTGGTTTATGTTTTTAAGTTCTATCAGTTCATTTCTTAGATCAGTTAACAGAAAATGTCCTCTCTTGTGAACATACACATAAACTTCTTCTAAACGTATAAATATGATTACTTCAGATAATTTTGTATTTGTAAATTTATACATTGTTTCATGTCTCTTCCTTGGATGAAATACATGAAATGTATTTAACCTACGCATATATTTTGCAGTGAATCCTTATAAAGTGAATAGGGTTTATGAGGAGTCTACATTGGGCTATTTTTTAGACTGCTATAGAAAAGACAAGAAAAAAATTTGGATTTATGAAAGTATCAATCTGTAAAAAATGCATCTATAATTGAGTTAAAAATGATAAAATAATGATGACTTGGTGTTACATTAAACTAAGTCTAATTAAAGATGTGTTAATTTAAATTCAAAGGCATGTTGTATATAATAATTAATATGAATATTGTATATTGTTTCATATTTTAAATCTTTTTTTAAATTTTAGCAAAACTATTTTGAAAATTAAATTTTGTAATTATTTAACTTTGTAATTCAGTAACACACCAAGAAAAGATAAGAAAAACCTATCTAGTCAACAAATAAATTTTGAAAGGTGAACCTTCATCTGTGCTAGGGTTTATCCTTAGCCTTGAGAACTTTGAGATATCATTGCGCCATGTATGACAGAGTAGGGTGTAATTGTCAACATATGGGTACAGTTTCATTCTAAAACACAATATTTTATTCAAACTTTGAATGAAATTAAAGTGTTCAAACTTTCCGCTTGATTCTTATAACATAGGGTTTCCAAATTTTTGTTCAATTTCTTTTAGTAATTTTTCCTTCAGCCAACCAAATTAGGAACAAAAAAAAAGTTTTTACCATAACAAAAATGTTTGTGAAATTTGTTCAAATTATGCGAAATTTTTCAAATTTTTGTTCCAAAAATCTGATATTGATAAATTACAAACCATTTTGGGCCAGAAAAAATTAGAGGTAACTGGAAAAGTCATAAAGGGAGTGTTCAATATAAATGAAAGAATAGGTAACTTTAAGCGTTTATAAGGACACAATGTCTAACAAGTGCAATAAAACTCATACCTCATTTCATAATAGTATGATTAATGTTTGGCATTCTTAGTCAGTTTTCCTCAAGGGATGAGTTAAGGGGATCAATCAATTAAATAAAAATGTCTTCTTTGTTTTTAAAAATTCAGAAAATTGGAATGAATATTCTATAATAATTTTACGATTAGGATAAAAAATATTTTTATATTTATTACATTTAAAATGACCTAAATAAATTTCAAAATATTTTTGAAATCAGCTTGAAAGGAGGAGATAAATTGATATACTGTGTACATTTAAAAGAAAATCAATTTCCTTGACTGTAGTTGTACATTAAAAAAAAACTTTCATTTGGATTAGAAGTACAAGTAGCATGCAAGGGTTGTCAAATAAGCACTTAAAAGTTTTTTTGAAATAACCATTCCAGAGTTTTCAAAAACCTAAATGCTTATTATTACATTTAAAACATATTTCTTTTGTTTATTTAAAAAAAAATAAAGAAATAAGAGAAGTTTTGTAATTACAAAAATATTTCCTGCGCTAATATATTATCTCATTTTAGATGGGAGAATCGGGCAAATATATGTAAAACTGGTATTAAAGTCGTCCCAGTAAAGAGATTATATTCGATATAAAACATACATGAAATATTGATGAGATATCATTTGAAAAAGTTTATAATTTGTCATGTCAATTTACTTCCTTTAGCTTAAAAGTTCTTCTTCTTATTATAATATAAATGATTACAAGGGTAAATTCTTAATGATTGCAATTATTATATTTTTGTTTAATGTGAAAATCTTGTTTTATACAAAAATATATTAATTTGAAAAATGTTAATTGTTTCTTTGAACCTCTTGAATATATTTCTGTACCAAACTTGCGGATTGAGTACAAATACAGTCTAGGAAGTGTCTAGAGAATCACCACCTCTTTAAATTAAATATTTACAATTTGGTGGTACAATGCAACTTAGTGATTTTGTACCCTTTACACGCCATAGGTAGAATGAGTATTAGTAGCACTTGAATTCAAGTTTGATTCAGATTCAGCCTATAACCCTTTTCATTTGTCATGAACACTCCAGTTAACCTAAAGTACAGCTCTGAGGATGAATCCAAGACTTGAGATGTCCACTCTGTTCTATTGAAAAGTACTGTGTCAAATCTATGTATGAGATCAGGTATCCGAAATCTTTCTTTTGTCTGTATTAGGAACTCATCTAGATATGACTCCATTTGGTCCTCAAACAGTTCACTGTAAGTTGCCTCCTTTAATATATTCTAAGGTTGATAATTCATTTTAGTTTTAGTTGTAGAATTATAGGTTTGAAGTTACCTTAAATGTCTTGGAACTGTTCAGACAACCACCTGTAAATAAAGTCAACAATTATTAGGCAAATTATTGTGTTTGGAAAACTTTTTTAAAACTTATTTAAAAAATTTGTACAAGTGTAGGGCTGGGCCCGTTCTGACGTTTACTAGCTGTTCATTAACGTTGGTTAAAACTGTTTAAATTTTTTAATTTCTATTTGCAGTGTTAACAACAGATATTTTAGTTATTTTAACAATTTTATTTGTTTCTTTTTTTATACATTATTTTTTTGGAACAACGGCTAATTAACAATTTGAAAATTAACAGTATTCAGTTAGTTTACGGGCTCTCCAGACAATATTCAAAAAACTCCATTTTTATATTTATATATTGTGATCTCGATATAATTTATTATTCTGAACCCTCTAGTAATAAGTTATAAGAAATATATACACTGGAAGTTATTTATGCGTTTTCATTAGAGTCTGACTCATGTCCTCTATATTGGTGACCCCCGACTTTGAACATACAGTTAAACGCTATCCAGTTTCTTGAACTTTGAACATTAAGTGATACATCCGAGCATCATGACCGACCGAAAAGAAACTCCAACCGTCAAGCTCCCGGATTTCTGCACAGAGGACCCCGACCTGTGGTTCCTTCATGCAGAAGCGGCCTTCAGAAACGCCCAAATCACAGAGTCAAAAACTAAATTCGACCACATCGTACAGAAACTTCCCCAGAAGATTATGGTCTCGGTACGCGGCCTGATCATGGGTTCTGCTGCCTCCTCAGAAACCCCTTACGAGGATTTAAAGGCCAAGCTTGTCTCCTCATATACTCTATCACGCTGGCAGAAGGTTTCCAAACTAATTCATCACCCTGGGCTGGGAGACCGACGCCCTACTGCTCTCATGGACGCCATGTTGGCCCTTCTCCCAGAGGACGAGAAACCAGGTTGCCTGTTCTAGGGTTTATTTCTGGAGAGGTTACCCGTCAAGATGAGGGACCATCTAATCTCCAGGGAATTCAAAAACCCTAGTGAAATGGCGTTATACGCTGATAGTTTGTGGGACGCCAGGAAGGCTATTCCTACCGACCACCTCCTAGCCGCAGCGTCGACCTCATCATCTTCCCCCCCATCACGTGGTAGAACTCAGGACCACAGAAGCCCATCACCGAACCGCCGTAGTCAAACCCCAGGTCCATCCAACTCAGAGTGTTATTTCCATAAATGTTTTGGTCCTGCAGCCAACAACTGTCAGGGCAGTTTCCAGGGAAACGCCAGAGCCGACGGGAGGAGGAAAGATTAAACAGCCTTCCCGTCGGCGGTTATCTTGTGTACCTTCAAGATGCCCTGTCAAACCATGATTATTTAGTTGACACTGGAGCGTGAAGATCTGTGTTTCCTCATCGTTCCTCAGCTACACTGACAGGCCCCCGCCTCCTAATGGCTGATGGACGACCAACTAAAGCTTGGGGTTCCAGATTGATTCCTCTACAGTTTGGTTCCCGCCGTTCCCACCTCCAGTCCCTCCAGATCCCCCTAGACGTAGAGGACGACCCCCACGCCAACCTCCTCCAGCTCCTCCTGATCCCCCTAGACGTAGAGCTGTTGCAGAAGCCTCCGCCGTTGCTCCGCCAAGGAGGAAAAGAGTAACTTTTAACCTAAAACCAAAGATTTTACACCAAAGGCCTCAACGTTAAAAGAGTTTTTATCGCTAGCCTCCGCCTTCATTCTCCGCCTTCAACCTCCGGCCTCATCCTCCGGCCTCTCCGCGGGGGGGGGGTAATGTGGAAGACGATGCCTGGCCGCGTTAATCAAGTTCCACAAGATTCAACAGAATGAGATAGAACAGATACGGGGCATAGTACTGATAAAACATCTACACATGTGATCTTGATATAAGCTATTATTCTGAACCCTCTAGTAATAAGTTATAAGAAATATATACACTGGAAGTTATTTATGCGTTTTCATTAGAGTTGGACTCACGTCCTCTATAATATGTTATTTTAAATACCACTTGATAATACATTGACAATTCTTTAAAGTTCAATAATTCAATTTGATTTCCTGGTAAATTTTCCAAAAGGTTAACCAAGTTCAACCTTTTGCAGATAGAGAACTGTAGATCTGGTACAGCCACTAAATGAATAAAACAAATTATAGTATTATGTTTGTGTTAAGAGTTTATTTATAAAGATAATTTGACACACTTCCCGTTAAGAAGTTTTCAATCTAAAGATATATTTAAACTACATTTTGGAAAGTACTTTAGTCACTTTAAGCCAATGTGAAATAAAAGTTAATCTGCTTCCTCACTGTGTTATTTTAAGAGACTTTTATCCTATAACTATTTCAAGATAAAATCAAAGCTTCAAATCATTTTTGCTTACTAGGCTACACTGTTCATTGTTCTTTCTTAGCAAACAAAAAGACCCTGTATTGTTTCATTTTTTAATTGCAACAAGATGTTTTTTACCTTTAGTTTAGAAGTAATTGGAAAATTGCTGACGTCAAATTATGCACAAAAGTTGTGTATTATTATCAAACATGCCCAAAAAAATAAAATAATAATAAAACTTACTCAAAACAGTTATAAGAAAAGGTCAAAATAAAATTACATTAGATGAAAACCCCCTAAGTTTTATTTAAGTAATTGAATAAATAAAATTATAATTGATAAGTATTACTATTTGATGAAAAAGACTGCTTAAATTCTTTTAACCTTGCAGAGATATCTCCTCATCTTGAGTTGTCATGGGTGTTCCAGCATATTTGATTGCTGTATTATAACCTTGCCTACAGGTTATTCCAATACAGACAATGGTAAACAAAATCCTGACAATCTAATCAAAACAACTAGTTTTTAAAGTGGAAAATCTTATGAATTTCATTTTTATTAATCTAATCGATGAATATTTTATTCTAAAGGTAATTTTTAATTCAGATTCATAAGAAATTATTGTAAGAAAATGTCTTTAATTAAAGTAAATTTATTAGTTATACCTAAAACTAACATTTTAAAAATAACAAACAAATGACAAAATTATAAAATATTTGTAGTTTCTGTATGCAAAGGAATTGAGTCTTTGTCACAAACTCTGATTTTCTAATCACTATATCTTTGGAACCAAATGTTGTAGACCTTAGATATTTCAAACTATAAATTCTGTTAAATCAAATAATCAGAGTTTGAAATATCAAAGGTTTACAACATCGGGTTCTAAACATATTGGGGGTTAAATATTTGATTTTGTTACAAAGACTCAATTCCTTTAAGACAAACCAAATCACACTAAAAAAGACATTGATTAGTTTAACTTTCATTTTAAAGTTGCTTTTTATGGTGAAAAACAGCATTGTTTAATTAGATTTTTTTATATAAACCAACGAAAACTTAACTCTATTTATTTTATTTATTTTAACCATAAGCATAATTTCTAGTGTCTTTAAATGCGAAGATGGTAATGCCTAATTCACTATTGTACTCTTGTTAATCAGACATTGACATCTTTTAACATTGGATCACTTTAAAATATACTTACAGTCCCTTTAACATCACTTTCTGTGGCAAATCTGATATGAAAATTAGAGTTGATTTCCTTGTTTAGCTCATGTAGCCCCGGGCTCTTGTATTTGTTCTTTTTTGTCATTTTCATATTAATACATTCAATTTGTAAAAAAGTTATGGAACTGTAATTTTTTGTGTTAATAAATGTTTGTTTAAATGGGCAGGTCTTCATTCATTATTTTTCAGGGGGAAAAATTTCCTGACAAATTATTTATTCCCTCCTCTTCTACATACTCGTAAAGTTTGTTAATTGTTTTGAGGAAAGAGGAATAATTTTGAAAATATATACATCCCTCTGTATAGTTTAACTTTGTATAAATTTTATAACAACTTTAAGCCTCAATAAATCAATAAATTCATGCATAGTTATATTAATTCACTAATTTAAGTAGGGTTCTGGCACGTTCTGACTTTTACAAGCCGTTTGTTAAAGGTTCATTAAAATTGGCCAAAAAAAACTTTTCTGGTTTGTTCGTTAATGTTTTTTCCGTTCTTATTCAAAGTTTCCATTTATTAAATAAAGATAATTTAGAAAGTGAACAGTGTTAGCCAATTATTCCATATAAAAATAGCAAGAAACATTCAAAAACAAACCACTAAAGAAGCCGTTATTGTAAAAAAACATTCCCTTTTTCTTATAACCTGTTAATTATTAGTTAACAATTTCAAAATTGTTAGTTTTTCTTTTTGTTAAAGACCCTTCCGTTAATTTTCAAATGTCAAGCAAAAAAAGTTATGTTTCAAATTTGTAGAAAAAATAGATTTAAAAATGTTGAAATCATAAACATATTTTCAGAATAAAAAAACGAATTTCAGTATAATGTAAAAATCTACCCCACCCCCTTTTTATTGAATTTTTTGAATTTTTTTTGAATAAATTACCCAATTATTTTATTTACATATGTGTTGGCTAGAATTATTTTTTTTAAGATTTATGGGACTGTAGGCGTACTTAAAAATATAATTTAAAAAAACTTATGCAGCATTTAAAAAAATTTTAACTAATCGATCTACAAAGGAATTTATTTTTTGCCACAAACACTGATTTTCTAATCCCAATGTCTTTGCAACCCACTGTGGTAGACCATTGACATTTCAAACTATAAATTCTGTTAGATCAAACAAACAAAGTTTAAAATCTGAAAGGATTACATCATCAGGTTGCAAAGATAAAGAGATCAGAAAAATTGAGTTTGTGGCAATGGCTCAATTCCTTTATAAAGAATAAGACATTTAAGATAATAATGATTAAGAAATAATTGATTCTATTATTAATTGCAATGATAATTTTTTGAAATAAATAAATTCCATTCTTGTGTGTTTCTGAAACTCAAAAAAGGCTAGATTTAATATCAAAACAGCTATTAACTCCGACAAATATCTTTTTAAAACCGGTGAGACATTAAAAAGTGTCTGCGTGTGAGAAAATGCCCTGAGACACTTTTCCCTCAAATTATGGATGCGTTGATAAACATTTACTGAATGTAAACATATATACTGTTAAATTAGTTTCTAAATGTAGCAATACTAGAAAATTTGTAAAAAAAAAACTAATTTCATCTCAAATGTCGTCTTCTTTTCGAAGAATTAAAAAACATAATATAAATTAACTTCTATACCTTGCACATGCAAAAACTTTGTAAAAATTTGTCATTTAGAATTTAAACGAAGCTATTTAATATATCTAGATATTTTTCAATTTGTTTAAGACCGAAATGCAGTAAAGTAACCGCCAACTGAACATTATCTCTCGCTTGGACACTTTATAAAGTTTGATTTTAATTTGTTAGATTTTTGATAGAAATTTCAGATTTAAAAGTTTTTGAATTCTGTGTTTTCCCCATATTCGGGGAGGAGGGAAAGGTCAATTTGACCACCCCTCCCCCATTGTTTTTTGTGATAACTCAAAAAGTATTTGAGCTAGGCAGTATGCCCTCAGGCATACTGCCTAAATGCCTTATTTTGTCTAAATCTATGTTTAGACCTACTTCCAGTCATTGAATTTTATCATTTTATAGCCCTTTGGAAAGCCTATAACAAAAGAAACCAGATTGCACAATTTATGCAAAGAAATTTGGACAGTTTGCACAGACGTCTTTAAATGGAATTTGCACATTTTAAGTTTTCTTTAATACACATTAGGTTTTAAAAATTTGCAAATGTTTTGGCATATTTGAATTGGCTGGGTCAAGGGCTTTTCAAAAATGTATAACTTGTTGCACTTTGAGCAAATTTTTTTTTTGCTTAATAACTAAATTTTGCAATAAATATTTGGATCCACATATTTATTGCAAATTTGTCATTTTGTTTCCAGATTATTGAAGTAAAGGCTAAGGGCTTTCCAAAAAACGTATTAAATATTTGGACTTCTGCAAGTTTACCATTTTTTTGAAGATTATTAAAGTAGAGCCCATGGGCTTTCCAAAAAACGTATCAAATGTTATATATGTGTATCACAATAAGAAAATAGAGGGGGGGGGGTCAATTTCATCCCCCCCCCAGGGAATCCAGACATGAAACTAAACCAGACGTCAGGAAAAAATAATAATAAAAAATGTATTGTTTTTGTCTTGCTTACAGGAGTGAATTGATTTTTTTAGTTTAAGATTTATATTAAATAAATGTGATAGTTTTTTCCCAATTATATTAAAGAAAACTGGTGCAGGAAGGATGTTTGCCAAAAAGTTGCATTCCAGATTTTTACTTAAACCCCGGATTAAAAAATTTCACACACCATTTGTGTCTAACTCTTACAGTTAAGAAAAAATTCTAAAATTTAAATCTAAACAAAGGAAAATGCATTTGATGCAGAAACAATAGAAATTCAAACTGTTTTCATGAATTTAATTATGCTTTTCTTTGAGGGGGCCCTTAGCTTGCAAATAAGACTCTTTCTTTGTTATAAGCAGATAGTACAAATTAAGTTCAATTTTTTAGTCGATGTTTTTTTAGTCTTCTGGCCAAGAGATGAGCATGGTGTTTGAGAATGAACGAATTTTTTTGTGAAAGATAGTTATCGTAAAGAAAAAAAACGGTGTAAGAACGAATTCGATTTTTCAACGATTTGAGAAACAACCGTTTTTTGAAAACGAAAAAAACGAACAATTTAAAATCGTTCGACCAATCTTAAAATGACGATAGTTTTATCACTGAACAAAAGAAATTTTCAAGAGATTTTTCGAACACACTTTTGAAAAATCTATATTTTTTTACCTGTAAGAATATTTTATTTAACTAACGATTTTACTGAACAATCATCCAGTAATAATACAAACGATATAGAGGAAATACATATGAATGATAAATTTGAGAACGAACAAAATCAATTTTTTAATGATTAAAAGAACCCCAAATGAAGTGGATCGTTCACTAAAACGATAAACGAAGAGAATGAAAAAAGCCAAACCTGCCATTTCTCTATACTGATGGCCTCTGCATGTATAAAATACATCCAATTGTAAATTGTCATTTCTAAATTTCACAATTTAATCTTCTTGCCTATCCTTCCCTTCCCCCCTCCCCTCCCCTCCTCCCACCCCTCCACCCCTGTAATAAGAGAAGAATAAAATAATAATTCTAAGAATAGTATTTAGTAATAATAATCTGATGAAGAGAGAGATTACAGATTATATATTTGATGTTCTAATGATCTATTGTTTTATTACTTAATTAATATTTGATACAGGATAACAACTATTAATTAATTACCCTAGAAAACTGAAAGTTCAATTTGTAAATTTACCGGATTTTTGTTTTAATGAAGTTTTAATTTAACCGTGCACGAAGAGATTACAAGGTCTATACAGGGTTACCCACAAACAATTTGACTTCAAAGACACTGTATACAGAATTGATTTAGGCCATAGATTTATCTATGATTTAGGCCTCTTAATAGTCATATCTTAAGTAATTAAGGTCGTCAATACTGTTTTATTCTCTGTGGTATAATTCTGAACAAAATATATTGAGTCTTTATTCTAAGATTTATTTGTCTTAACAGCTGTAAGCTTGTTTCCTCCTTCGCAAATCATGAAATCTGAAATAATAAAGCTTGATTAGTTAATTTAAATGTTCGCTATTGCTGGACAAGCGGCTTGACCAAATTGGCGGATATTTTTGAGGGCAAAAAAATTATGGAAATTATGGTTAACGCAGGGCACTTCAGCTAATATCCTAATTTATGATCAACCACGAGTAAATGGCGGGAGTAACTATAGAGTAACATCAGCTATGATGGGCACTGGTGTACCAATAAAACACTAAGTTAAAGG